AAAGAGCAGAACACTTCTCGGTGGCTGTATAGGCAGCTGAAATTGTGCTCGGTTGTGAAAAGCTCCGAAGTTTCCATGAGCAAAAAGCGTTTTAACCCGAGCATCAGCTATTTGGGAACAGGACATTTCTCAGGTGTGGAATCAGTGTAACAATCAGCAATAGAAACACAGCGTCTGCAGGACTCGGGCACGTAGCGTGCCCCGCTGTGTTGGGCAGGGGAGAGAGGAACGTGATGTAAGAACTGGCTGCAGAAAGAAGTGGGGCAGTGGGCTGCCGTCGTGGTGCTGTGCTGAGGCTGTGCTTGCTGCCACCCAGCCGGACTGAGCGACTCACTTTGCTGTATCCCAGCATAGGAATATTGCAGTCAGAGCTTCTGCTGTGTGTTGCTGCTCTGCTAGTGCCTAATGAGGTGCCAGAACGGCTGCTGCCTCGGCGTGTCAGTCAGCAGGTACCTGGCACCCCTGTGCTGGCTGGCTCCCGTACAAGAATGCGCACGTACCGCTGCGCAGCAGCTCCAGGTGGGACTGCCACGGCGCTGGAGCTACTGCCTGTGCGCTAACGTGAGGCACTGCACCGTGTGCACTGCAAGCCAGTGTGTTAAGCAAGCCTGGGAGATGTACAGCTACTTAGCCTCCTCTTGTCCCTTGCTCATGATGCTTGTTCTGACCTCTCCACAGAGTCCCGGAGTGATGATAACAGTGTCTTTGATCTCTTTGAACTCATTGGCTACATTCGGAAGGGAGCTGGGCGCCGGGCACCGGGGGTGCACCTGGTGAAGGGGCCAGAATCCTCCAGCCCTGCTTACCGCATTGAAGATGCCAGTCGCATCCCTGCTGTCCCTGACGCCAAATTCCAAGACTTACTAGATGCCATCCATGCTGAGAAGGGCTTCATCCTCCTGGCCACTCTTCGGCAAGCCAAGAAGAGTAGAGGCACACTGCTGTCTGTGGAACAAAAGGATGGCTCTGGTCACGTCTTCAGTCTAGTATCAAATGGCAAGGCAGGCACCCTGGACCTGAACCTTTCTAGTGATGGCAAGCAGCAATTAGTGTCAGTAGAGGATGCCTTGCTAGCTACAGGACACTGGAAGAATATCACCCTGTTTGTGCAGGAGGATCGGGCTCAGCTCTATGTGGGGTGTGAGAAAATGGAGAATGCTGAACTGGACATCCCCATCCAGAACATCTTCACTAGGGACCTGGCCAGCAGTGCCAGGCTCCGCATTGCCAAAGGGGGAGTCAATGACAACTTCCAGGTAAGACTTTCACTTCTATTTTTGCCTAGTATTTTCAGTCATCTGTCTTGAAGGTGCATGAGCTGCTTAAGCAGCCTAAATAGCTACAAAGACGTGGATAACAGGGAGAGAGAGTTCCACCACTGACTGATTTGTGTACATCTGATATGGACCACCTCTAAATCTACTAAATTTTAATAACAGAATTTGAAGGGTGAAGCATTAGATTTGCAGGAATACAACTTTTTGCAGCAATAAGAAGGCACTGAAGTTTCCAAACAGGTAGTTGTAGCTTCACTGTTCAGCTTCCTATATGAGATTCATAAATTTGTGGGTTTTTAACTTCCTACTTGGAAAGTTGCCAGGTCCTTGTGGTCAAGAATGAGAACGTTAGGAAGCAGGGCTTGTTATCATTGAGAAGAATAAAGTCTTGTTTCACTATGCCATCTGTCATGGAATTACTCTTAATGGTCTTATGTGACCTTAAGTGCCTACAAGCTGTCTCCTTGCAAGTTGTACCTTTTTCCCTTGCAGTCACATCAAGTAGTTGTAATTCTTCCTCTGTCCACAGGGACTGCTGCAGAACGTGAGGTTTGTGTTTGGAGCAACTCTGGAAACTATCTTGAGGAACAAAGGCTGCTCAAGCTGTAAGTTTGCAATCTTTGAATCCAATGACCTATTAAAAATAAGATTCTTCATTACTCTAGAAAGACAAGTTGAAGCAGGACTCAGAAGTATGCTGACATGCAAGTCCATGTTGCATAAGAAATAAGATTAGTTTTCTGCAGGCACCCTAGTGAATCTGGTGGCAGCTGTTTAGCAGGTGTTACCCTGGAATGATAAATACACATGGTAAAAAATGTGTTTACATTATGTGTGGTTTTGTCTTTTAGCCACTAGTGCGATCATTACTTTGGACAACCCCATCAATGGCTCCAGTCCAGCTATCCGCACTAATTATATTGGCCATAAAACCAAGGATATCCAAGCAGTCTGTGGTTTTTCCTGTGATGAATTAACAAATATGTTTGTGGAACTCCAAGGGCTCCGATCCATGGTGACAACACTTCAAGACAGAGTTCGCAAAGTGGTGAGTGTTGGTTAAATTCATAGTACCTTGCATTAACTGGCACTGGGTGAATGAGTCATAACCTGCCCCTTGAGAGCCTACATCAACAGTAATAACGTCATGACTTTTTATGGAAAAGGGTGTCTTCTGTATTAACTTCTAAATACTTTCTCTCTGCTTTGCTCCCCTTCCCTGCCCTGCTTTTAAGACTGAAGAAAATGAACTGATTGCCAAAGTGGTCCAGATCACTCCTGGAGTATGCATTCATAATGGAATCTTGCACAAAAATAAAGAAGAGTGGACTATTGACAGCTGCACTGAATGTACCTGCCAGGTAAGATTCCTCGCATTCATAAATCCTCTGCATAGAAATTAATGAGTTGAACTTTCTGAGTATTTCTAAATGACATGCTTTATTAGAAATAGTGAATCCTACACAGAACTGGATGTACTAAAGTAGCCAGAGAATCATTCTGTTTATTGCAGCCTAATAGATGTCTGGTATAAATGCAGCTTTCATACAGGATAACAGCAGTATTTTAGAAAATTATATGAAGCATTGCTCTGATACAGCTGTTAACATACTTTTAGTTTCTTAATTTGGAGAGTGCTTGTATTGTTTACGTAAGTCCATAAGTAATTAAAGGTCAGCATCAATAGGACAAATTTATAGTACTACCAACTTTGTTCCCTGCAATACTTTAGATTCACCTTCAGTCCTTACTGAACCTCCCACTGGCTTAGTACCAAAAAAAACTTCAATACTTGGTAATGGTTTTATCACACCTATGGGCTTTTTCTTTATCTAACAAATGCTGTGTCCTATTAGCTGTTTATGGATTATATGGAACAGTATTCCTTTCCAGATTTCAGCTTAGCTGTTTAAATCCCAGCATCATCTGGCAAGATACTTATGCTTTGTGTTCTGCTTCTCTGGAATGTTGTAAAATTACACAAATATATAGTTTTGGAGTATCTTTAAACTCATTGCTTGCTCCCTTTAAGTGTACCTTAGCAAAAATATCTTGGTGTTCAAGTCTATCAAAGAGTGGGTTAACTAGCCTGCCTCTGTTTAGAAACTAAAGGCTGAATATTTGTACACATGCAATCCAAGGCATCTGCTTCTATGGGTCTCTATACCTTTGTCTTGTAGTCAGCTAATGATATTGTGACTTCTGTGTTTGACTTTATTCTACCAACTCTCTTACTCAATGTCAGCCTTAATTGCCTTAATGTATTCATTTGCTTGGGGAGATTAAAATAGTAGTCATAAGAGCATTCTTCTGACCAAGCTATTACGTTTTAGAAGCAAAACTACAAGCTGCCCATTAGTTCTCATTGAGATTGGAGGTGGGTGTGTTTACCCTGCCTCCTTGGCTTGAAGACCAAAGACTTCTAAGTATAAGTTATAGATTTCATGGCTCTTGAGCAGAGTCCACTAAACTAATTTTATCTTTACCATATAATCAGCTTAAATCCATATTAACATAAAAGAAAGTTGGCTCCTTGTTCTTGTTTCACTTTCCTGAAGTCTGACCTTATACTTTAGGTATCACATGATAGTCTTTTATTCTAGCCAGCATCTGGCAGCTACTCTTGATCAACTTCTGCAAAATCAAAATACTTCTGCTTCTGACTGAAAAGTAATGGCTGAGAATGGGACAGAGATGAAGTTTGACTAAAAATACCTGGGGCTATCCTTGGGTTGTATTAGATCCAAATAAAAGGGTCTCTGCTTTGGTATGTGCTATTGAGTCCTTAAGTGCTGCAGAAAATCTCTTTATCATTTCACCAGACTCGGACATTGTTTATATTCCACTGGCTTATTGCCATTCTTGATTCTTTATAGAACTCTGCCACCATATGCCGGAAAGTGTCCTGTCCTCTCATGCCATGTTCCAATGCCACTGTGCCTGATGGGGAGTGCTGCCCACGATGCTGGCGTAAGTACTGATAATACCTTCACACTTCTATAGCAGTTGGCTTCATCTAGCTAGCCACATGCTGCTCTGCAGTATAGCACTACTGGATAGAACCTTGTACCACTGGAGTGAGGTTAGCCTGATGCCTCTTTGAGGTTAATCACTTAGGTGATGCATATGAACACTGGAATGTTTGAGTTCATGGCCTTTGTCTTGTACAAAAAAAGAAAGTGCATGTGGCTTTTGAGGACAGTTCTGCCCATTTTTGTGGGGAGAGTGGTGGGAGAAAAGACTATGGGAAATAAATACTTGGAGTCTTATTCAGAGCTATATCCCCCTGCAGCCAGCGATTATGCAGATGATGGATGGTCTCCTTGGTCTGAATGGACTTCATGTTCTGTGACCTGTGGCAATGGGATTCAGCAGAGAGGGCGATCCTGTGACAGTCTCAATAACCGCTGTGAAGGGTCTTCTGTGCAGACTCGGACTTGTCACCTTCAGGAGTGCGACAAGAGATGTAAGTACTTAACCTGCCCACACTGGTAATAAAACACAGGCTACATTTACTGGCTTAATGTTAACAGCAAAGATTACACTGCAGCTCCGTCACTGAGATGGAGCATTGTTTTTTAGCTTTCAGGACTTAAATTAATCAGGTAAAGGAGAGCAGCTTAGTTAATGCAGTAAATAGGTGTGTTTGGGCAGTGCTCCCAGAACAAAACTTGAGGCCAGTTTATGTATGCAGTTTGTCTAGTGACAAAACAACTTGATCTGTGATGGTGCTGAGGCTATCCAATATATATGGAGTCTTTGGTACAGTTCTGGTCCTGGTTATGTCCTAGATGCTGTGCAGCTGAAGTCTGTTATTCAGAAACTCAGTTAATGACAGACATCTCTCTCTTGTAGTTAAACAGGATGGTGGCTGGAGTCACTGGTCGCCATGGTCATCATGTTCTGTCACTTGTGGCAGTGGCATCATCACTAGAATTCGTCTCTGCAACTCTCCAGTACCACAGCTGAATGGCAAACCTTGTGAGGGTGAGGCAAGAGAAAACAAATCCTGCCAGAAAGATCCTTGCCCAAGTAAGTGTGTCTAGATGGTAACTGCTATTTGGTAGCTTAAACTGTGAACTTCCTGAGTAGTTCTTATATCATCTATTTCTAGTAATCTTATCTCTTTAAACATAGTGGTAGGCTAGGTAAAACCTCACAAATCAGTTTCAGAAGAAACTGAACTTTTTCTGTGGCTCTTCTATGGAGTCTGTTTATTGTGTCGTTTATGTCTGAACAATGTTGGAAGTACTCTCACTACAAAATAATAGTTATTAGTAAGGTAGAAAATAGTTGTACCACTGAATTTAAAGCTATACCTGTCTTCTAACTTTTATCTCCCTTTAGTTAATGGCAACTGGGGACCATGGTCTCCATGGGATGCTTGCACAGTGACATGTGGAGGAGGACTTCAAAAACGGAGCCGTCTCTGCAATAATCCTGAGCCTCAATATGGTGGGAAGACTTGTGTAGGTGAAGCTAGAGGGACTCAGGTCTGCAACAAACAGGACTGCCCAATTGGCAAGTATCCCTTTTCCTATAAACATCTGAAGGTTGTGGACAATCTTGAAAATATTGATTAAAAAACTTGTCATAAGTCTATAAAAGACAAGTACCAGAATTTTAAACTGGCATATGGGCCAGCTTACACTACTATAGCAGCAGGGTAAGTGTCCCTCATCCTAACATGGTCTCCTTTGTTTCTCAGATGGGTGTCTGTCCAATCCCTGCTTTGCAGGGACTACTTGTACCAGCTCCCCTGATGGCTCCTGGAAGTGTGGTGCCTGTCCTGCTGGCTACCATGGTGATGGTATCCACTGCGAAGATATTGATGAGGTAAGAAGACTTCAGTTTGCTACTTGAAAGGGAGTGAAGAAAATGGGGAGAATAAAATTCCAGTGTTTCATGATACTCATTGTTGTCCTTTGTCTTAAACTCTTGTATTTCAGTGCAAAGAGGTTCCTGATGCCTGCTTTGTCTTCAATGGAGTGCACAGGTGTGAGAATACTAAACCTGGGTACAACTGTCTGCCTTGTCCACCACGTTTCACCGGGACACAGCCATTTGGTCGCAGTGTTGAGGATGCCATGGCTAACAAACAGGTATTGTCAACCTGAGAACTTTCCTGGGTTATGAAATCTCACCATTTCTAAAGAGCAGAAAGCACCTACGCTTTTCAGGGGAGAAGAACTTGGTAAATTAAATAAAACACCATCCTCTGTGATTCAGAACAGGAGGAGCATTAAGCAGTTTCTCTAGGAGTTTGAAGTTAGCTTGAAAAATACTCTCCTCAGCCATGGAGGGTTCAGATGTTATACCTAATTCTAGGAGCGTAACTTAACCTGTGTTAATTTACGATCCAACAATACATGCCTTATGTATTTTACTGTTTGGCCCCATTTGAGAATAAATAAGGTTTGAACAAGAAAAGTAATAATCAGTGCTAAGATTGTTACTGGAGTTGGGGAGTGGAAGAAAGTAATGTATGAGGCTTTTCTATTATTTTCCCCCATTTAAGGATGTAGGATCAAAACAAGCATGTACTCTCCAGGTTTTGTTTGAATCTCTGGGAAAAAATGAGGGATAAAAAGACAGTAGATTTAATTTTTGTGTGGTCTTCTAGGTCTGCAAGCCACGTAATCCATGCACAGATGGAACACATGATTGCAACAAGAATGCCAAATGCAATTACCTTGGCCACTTCAGTGACCCCATGTACCGCTGTGAATGTAAACCAGGCTATGCTGGCAATGGCATAATCTGCGGAGAAGATACTGACTTGGATGGATGGCCAAATGAGAACCTTGTTTGTGTTGCCAATGCCACTTATCACTGTAAAAAAGTAAGTTTGTCCTGTTTTCACATCTACCTTTGTAACAACCTGTATCTGAGGAATATACAAAATATGTTAGGCTGGATGTATAAAGCACGTCTCTGTCTAATTAGAGCTATTAAACCATTCTCTCTGCAAATAAAACTGGTAAAACACTCATTTGTGTAGGGACACCATTGTCAAGGTGTTGCTAGGAGGCTCTTGCTGTTGCTTTAGATATTCCTGCAATATGGGAAAAAATTAAGCCTGACACAGTTATACATGTTTTCTATAAATGTGCCAGGAGGAATCTAGTTTAGGCTGTGCCTGTATCAGCTTTGCTTTAGCAGTATCTCCAGGGGAAGCAAAAGAGTGTGAGATTCTCAAAAGTAGCCAAATCTTTGTTTTAAAAGTTATTTGATCTGTGGCTCTCTAATACTTATCCTCACAGTAATGACTATCTAAAATTGAGAGAATTATGGTGAGATAACACCTACCTGATTAAAGTATGATTTTGCCTAATTATTAGATATTTCCTGCTAGAGACCCTATTGTAATCATTCCAGAAGTAAACAGATCTGTGTACTTTGTCCTTTCTAGGATAACTGCCCAAATCTGCCCAACTCTGGACAGGAAGACTATGATAAGGATGGGATTGGTGATGCCTGTGACAGTGATGATGATGATGATGGTATTCCTGATGACAGGGTAAGACAACACAAAAGAACAGCATTTGGGACTGGTGTCTAGCTTCTGATCTTAATCTTAAGAGAGGACCATAGGAAACTGCTGGCACTGACAGCCACCCTAGAAACCTTTAGATATGCAGAACTATGCAGACAAACTTTCTGCAGCTGGTTGAGCTTTGAAAGTAAATCTTTGGGTTTTTATCAGCCATTCCTACACTCACACAGGCACTAGGGTTTTGAGGTAGAAGAATTCAAGTTTTAACCGTTTCCCTGCCTTGCATTTCTCCTTTCATATAGCAGTAGAAGCATAAGCAAGATTTGGTTAAAGCTTTCATTTTACTCTTTTTAAAGTTTTACTTCTTTCTTGCAGGACAACTGTCCATTCATCTACAACCCACAGCAGTATGACTATGACAGGGATGAGGTTGGTGACCGCTGTGATAACTGCCCCTACAATCACAACCCTGATCAAACAGACACTGACAACAATGGAGAAGGAGATGCATGTGCAGTAGATATTGATGGAGATGGTAGGTGGCCTCTAATTGCTCCCTTAGGTGGCTTTCTAGTCACAGATTGATCAAATGTACCCAATGTGTACCATTAATTTCCTACCAGAATTTCATCCCTGAACAGATAAGTGTTCTCTTGTGATTTCAAGACATAAGAGTACTGAAAGTAATGGTTACAGTTAATGGAAACTCACTTTGAAATGTATGCGTTTTGGCACAATTAAGTTCTAGCTTTGCTCTCACAAGCAGTAGGAACAGAAGCATGTAGCAGGGCTAGTGATCAGTCAAGTTTCAAAGCTTGCAAATGCTGTTCAAAATGCTTCCAGAAATTTACTAAGAAGTGAGTGATGGCTTTTTTGTGGCTTCTTTGCTGCATTTGCATGTTTGACTTTCATTCATCAATTCTCTGTAATTTTACAGGGGTCCTTAATGAAATGGACAACTGCCAATATGTCTACAATGTAGACCAGAGGGATACAGACTTAGATGGTGTTGGAGATCAGTGTGATAACTGTCCATTGGAACACAATCCTGACCAGGTAAGGAATTTGCATTATGTATATAGAAGACTCATATAATTCTATAGTATTATATATATTGTAGAAAATATGTGAACAGGTTACAGCTTTTATTTGACTTGTCACAAATCATTCCTACCTGTTTGCCAAATGGTGCCTCTATCAAATAAAGTACTCTCACAATTCAATATAGCTACTAGGTATTTTCTGAAAACTAACTCCAGTGGTGATCTCTGAGACTATTGCAGGTACTTCTTAGGTTTGTCAGTTATAGTGATTCTCATATTAAGGATATGAAATTCCTGGGAGCTTATATGAAGTCTAGGTAGGTAGGAACTACCCTCTTTGTAGACTGTAGTGTTGTGTTCACTGAAACACAAAGTTGCTATTTAATCTTTGTCCTTAATTCTGAAACAGCTGCATTTAAAATGATAACTTTTCAACCAGGAAGTTGAAGGTAGCACTGACTGCTTTTCTCTAAGGAAAAGGTGTATTCTGACACTTTCAAAATTCTCCTTCATAAATTCAGAAGCAATCCAGCTTCTCTTTTGAACTTCCTAGTTCAAAAGATTTTGAAGGCAGGAGTTTGTAAAGCCTATACCATCCTGTCACGTACGAGGCCATAAGTTTAATGGTTTCATTAAACATAACTGGAATGTTTAAAGGGTTAGAAAAGCTGTTGCAAATCAGTGGAATCTAGGGTAGTATGGTCATGTAGCCTAAAAGCAGGGTTACTTGAAGGATTTAAACAGATAATATAAAATTTCTTACTCTTTGTCACTTGCTTTACCACTTCTCTACCCTAGGGTGGAAAGTGACTGGAAATCTCTTCTACTTTCTTCTCCATGACTTAGTCAATGTTTCTGTAAAAGCTTTGAAATCTTAACATGTCTCTAAAGGTTTTTACAGCAGTTTTCTAATAAAGTTCTAGAAGCAGGGGTATTACCTTTCAAATGGCAGACTGTTCACACCGTGTGGTATGTTTTCTGTCCATGCTAGCACCAGAGTCATCCACCAGTGTTGTCAAGACTACTAGACCAAACCTTGAGGCAGCCTCAGGGATGACTGGGTTGTTTTTTCTTATTTCAGAAGCTGACTAAGCAAATGACTGGTTAAAATACGTGATCAGCCAGTACAGCAGTTCATGCAGTCTTTGATTGCTAAGGGAGTAGTTGTCTTGACTGATCAGCCAAGGGGCATGAAGAATGTCAAACTTTTATGATAAAGAAAATTATGATCTGGTGAGGAAGCTGTAAAGCCAAGACTTGGTAGACTGTGTTAATGTTGCAGTCTCTACTGGCTATGTATAGATTATTGTTACCCTTATCTGGCCCTTGGAACCAAAGAGCTGCCAGAGAAGGTGGGAAGTAAAGTAACCCTGTGTCCAGTGTGGTACACTAGAGACAAAAGAGTCGCATGGCAGAAAGGAGAAGAAGAGAGGCTGATGACAGCACAGCTTTCTGCTGCTGTAGATTTAGATTAAAACCAGGGCAACACTAATGCAGCCCAAAAGCTGCTTTAACCCCAGTACCTCACTACATCTATGTTAGCTCTTGCTAGAGCAGGCAGAAATCCCAATTGATTCTAGGTATTAAGCCTCCTATTTCAGCCTTTTTTAAAAGTGTCTTTTAAAAATATTCTTTTTTTCCCTTTCTTAGGAAGACACTGATTCTGACCTCATAGGTGATCAGTGTGACAACAACCAGGACATTGACGAAGATGGCCATCAAAATAATCTTGATAACTGCCCCTATGTGCCCAATGCCAATCAAGCTGACCATGACAAGGATGGAAAAGGTGACGCCTGTGACCATGATGATGATAATGATGGTATCCCTGATGACAAAGATAACTGCAGATTGGTTGCCAACCCAGATCAAGCTGATTCTGATGGTAAGACCAGTGACCAGTATAACAGTGACATTTTAAGAGTACTGTCCAATAGTTTGATGCTTTCTTCCCCCACTATTTACAGTGGACAAAACTTCCAAGTAACAAAAAGAATGTTTGTACAATTTTTATAGTGGTCTTCAGGACTAAGGAGCAATGTAAAAATGGCTCCTTATTCCTAAGTCACCTTCAGGTTGGACTGAAAGAGCATTTATACAGTAGTTGTTGTGGCTTCTCTAGTGTGTCTGTCAGCACTACCTGGGCAGTCAGATCTCCAATCAAATTTTCAACTCCTAATTGTAGACTCAAACAAATGTGAAATTACTTGTGTCCTGCAGGTGATGGACGTGGAGATGCTTGCAAAGATGACTTTGACCAAGACAGTGTGCCAGACATCGATGATATCTGCCCTGAAAATGTAGATATTAGTGAGACTGATTTCCGAAGATTCCAGATGATTCCCTTGGATCCCAAAGGAACATCCCAGAATGATCCAAACTGGGTTGTTCGTCACCAGGGTAAAGAACTGGTTCAGACAGTAAACTGTGACCCTGGCCTTGCAGTCGGTAAGGGGAAAATTTTAACTCTTCACAGACATTACATTGGTTGGGGGGGAGATGCAAAGGGGAGAGGAGAACCTGAGAAACTATGAAGGAGTTGTTTAAGAATCGCAAAAGAACAGCACCGATAACTTTCTCCTTTAATACTCCCTTAGGTTTTGATGAATTCAATGCTGTGGACTTCAGTGGCACCTTCTTCATCAATACAGAAAGGGATGATGATTATGCTGGTTTTGTATTCGGTTACCAATCTAGCAGTCGTTTCTATGTTGTCATGTGGAAGCAGATCACCCAGTCTTACTGGGACTCCACGCCAACCAAAGCTCAAGGCTACTCAGGTCTCTCCATCAAAGTTGTGAATTCCACCACTGGTCCAGGAGAACACCTTCGTAATGCTCTGTGGCACACAGGAAACACTCCTGGCCAGGTAACAGTGACACTTAGATAATCTGCTCTTCTGCACTGTAAGGCAGGCTGTTCTTCCAGCAAGGTGGATGCTTACAGGGGGTCTGCACATGCTGATTAGAAAGGCATTGTCATCTTTGCAAGACCAGTGACTTTAATTATCCCCAGTCATACAAAATATTGCATAAAACTAACAGGATGACATGCTGCAGACAGGCTTTCCATCAGATGTGATCAACTGTTTCTGGAATTGTGGAGTACCTTCCTATCTACACATTTAAAAGTAAATTTAAATGTAGTTGATTTCAAAGGACCCCATTACTGAGCCTAATGAATTACTTTAAGCCTTTACTAGTCATAATGATGGTCATCAAGGCACTTGATGTGTCAAAATAATGGCTATGTTATCTCAGGCCTCTGGTTAACAGAAAAAACATTCTTTTGTAGGTGAGAACTTTGTGGCATGACCCTCGTCACATAGGCTGGAAAGATTTCACTGCATACAGATGGCGTCTTAGCCACAGACCAAAGACTGGTTACATCAGGTGAGCATCATCCTTTTATCTGATGTAATGATCACAAGGAAAGTGGATGTCTGTAAAGATGAACCTAACAGAATCTTGCAAAGATGGCTGACCTACTGTCTTTTTGTAGGGTTGTAATGTATGAAGGGAAGAAAATCATGGCAGACTCGGGACCCATCTATGATAAAACGTATGCTGGTGGTCGGCTAGGATTATTTGTCTTCTCTCAAGAAATGGTGTTCTTCTCAGACCTTAAATATGAATGCAGAGGTAAGAAAGACATTGTATTGAAGAGATTCTATGTAAAGGAATTGATTCAAGACAGCTGCCCCTAACAAAAACAGACTGGATCAAGAAATATGGGTGAACTTTCCCTCTGAGCTCTTAATTTTTCATGGCTTGATCTCAAGAGCTCTGCAGGCAGAAACAGGATACCTTCTTGATAAACTCTTCATAGTTAAAAGTTTAAATACGGAAAATCTAAGTATATTTCTGTCTTATTTTCAAGTATCAGAAATTCATGTTAAGATCCAGATATGAAACATATCTTGAATCTCCTTTAAAATGCAGACTAGAATAAATCAACACAGCTGACAGCCCAAGGTGAAAATGCAAAATACTGACTTCAGCAAGCAAGAAAGTAGTGTCTGACATGCAGAAAATTTACTTGCATAAAAACAGGCAACATAGAAGGTTGTCCATGCATCACACTCTTGTAGTTCAGTAGAGATAGGTGCATATGACTAGTTCCAGGTGCCCTACTCTTAAACTGTAATGTCTTAATTGTTAGTACTTCCTCACAGAATGGTCACATAAACTAAATTCTGAAGTCTTAACTCAAAGTACCTAAGCACTTTTAGTTTTCTTTACCAATACGTTACTTACAAAGGTCTTCAGGCATTAATGTCTTGGACATAATCATGGATAATACACAAAAATATTTAATTAACTTCTTTTTCCTTTTCACAGATCCATAATCACAAGGTTATTAGATCCAGAGACTATTTAAAAATGCTGGTATTGCACCTTCTGAAACGTTTAGCCTTACAAATCCTGGGACCATTATATTATTCCTTCCTTTCTTCTTTCTGCGTAAATGTGGACTCGAAACACATGACCTGCCTCAAGAGAATGCTTTTGAGAGAATGAAAGTGAGAACATACTTGGTATCTGACCTCTGCTGAGTGGAAGGAAACAATTGTGTCTTTCAAATGAGAATTGTCTTCACTGAACAAAGCACACTTCTTTCAGTAGGAAAGACATTTGTTTGCTGTTTATCACAGTGCAGTGTCACTGCCTCTCTTAACTGGAGGTCCCATGGAGTAGCATTTTGTAAAAAGACCATCTTTGGATGTGCTGTGGACTACTTAAACTGAAGACCTTTCATTGTGTGGGGAAAAGGGGGTTTGGGTGGGAGGGTGAACTCCAAGTCTTTTTCCTTTATGGGGGAGAGGAATTTTTTAATGAGGGCTGCACAGCCTTGGTTTACATCCATTTAACTTGGATAAATGATTATTGTTTTATATGTCATATTTTTCAGATGAAAACACAGCCTTTTGCTCTATTTGTGGTGAGCTAGATCAGCTGCTCTACTAAAAAGGGCAAAACAGATATCCTAAAACTGATTTCCATGATGGGAGGGGGAAAGAGGATAAAAACTGGCACACTGGATCACAGCAGCTTTGGGAGAACTGGGATTTACAATTGGATTCTGTTTTTTTTCCTGATTAGATGCAGATCTTTCTTACCTTTAAATGTTTTCTTTCAGATAGGGTGCCAGAAAGCACCACCATCTCAACTAGCACTGTGCTGCCTTTCAGGAAACCAGCATGTGCTTCACTTTGTATGGTTAAAAAGGCACAAAAACAATAGCAATGAAAACATTCCTTTTCTACATGCCATAGAGGCTTTAACCCCCTTGCTTCTTGGGAAGGGAGTGGAACAGGCCTGTAGATAACAAACTAAAATTGTAAAATATTTATTTTTATCTATCCTTGATGTTATGACTGAGGGATTATTGATTAAAGTAACAAGAAATGCGTCAAGACTATCCACCTGATCATTGTTACAAGTCTTCATGACTGTAAGATTGTAAATACAGATTATTTATTAACTCTGTTCTATATCAAAACTAGAGGGGTTTTTGAGGAAAAAGAAAATCTTGTCTGGAGCAGATAGTGGTGATGTATATGTTATAAAGAGCAATTTTCCCATAAAGGATTTGAGGCGCAGGGAAAAGTGGTGGGGTGGGGAATGGGATGTTTGTTTTTCTCAGTCTGAGCTCAGTGTTGGCTTTTCCTTTCTTTGTGCAAGGCAGTTAGTAGCCTGGCAGGCAACTGTTCTGCAGTGCTAAAACTCAAGTCCCTTTAGCTGGTTTAGGGCAATTCCTGTCTCCCATCCATAGTGCTAGAGATCTGGGAATGCCATTTCCCATCTTAGCGGTTATTTAGTGCTGGGCATATCTGCAGTGCTTGACCACTGCTCAGTGGCCTGACACAAAAACAGAATACTGGCCCTGAGGAGGCTGCAGAGAGGCACAATGGCTGCAGTCAGGAACCATTCAGACAGGGTATTTGTGCTGCTGCACATTAATTGTGGCAACCAGCAATGTGCAGCTACAAAAGAAATTCTTCATGAGACAGAATTTCAGGAGCTCCTTGCAAAAGAGGGAGAGGACTTGATGAACATACACAGAAGACTGTTTTCCCCAACAGAAGGGGCAGCATCCTTATAATATTTCCTTGTCTTTTCAAAAAAGGAAAAGAAATTAACACAGTGAAAGTTTTACGTACAAATATTACCTCATTGTTGTGTGACTGAGAAAAACCTTTCGATTAAGTAGAGTTCAAATGTCTAACAAACTTTAAAGCTACTGTAGTACTAAAAAGTTGATGCTGTACATAGTCAAAATTTCTTTGCAGAAAATGTATTCCCAGTAAGGAAATGGCATTGGAAAAAAAATGTCAAATACAATTTCTAATGTTGTGTTATATTTTTTCTTGTCATCTTGTATACCATTGCTTGTATTTTTATAAATTATTTTTCTCATTGCCATTGTAATAGTTAACCACATAATTGTGTAGATATGCTATTTAAATAATTTATCATGAAATGCTACCTGTAGAGTTAGTATTTCTATTTTTATAAAATGTTGCAGATAGTGGTGATGTATATGTTATAAAGAGCAATTTTCCCATAAAGGATTTGAGGCGCAGGGAAAAGTGGTGGGGTGGGGAATGGGATGTTTGTTTTTCTCAGTCTGAGCTCAGTGTTGGCTTTTCCTTTCTTTGTGCAAGGCAGTTAGTAGCCTGGCAGGCAACTGTTCTGCAGTGCTAAAACTCAAGTCCCTTTAGCTGGTTTAGGGCAATTCCTGTCTCCCATCCATAGTGCTAGAGATCTGGGAATGCCATTTCCCATCTTAGCGGTTATTTAGTGCTGGGCATATCTGCAGTGCTTGACCACTGCTCAGTGGCCTGACACAAAAACAGAATACTGGCCCTGAGGAGGCTGCAGAGAGGCACAATGGCTGCAGTCAGGAACCATTCAGACAGGGTATTTGTGCTGCTGCACATTAATTGTGGCAACCAGCAATGTGCAGCTACAAAAGAAATTCTTCATGAGACAGAATTTCAGGAGCTCCTTGCAAAAGAGGGAGAGGACTTGATGAACATACACAGAAGACTGTTTTCCCCAACAGAAGGGGCAGCATCCTTATAATATTTCCTTGTCTTTTCAAAAAAGGAAAAGAAATTAACACAGTGAAAGTTTTACGTACAAATATTACCTCATTGTTGTGTGACTGAGAAAAACCTTTCGATTAAGTAGAGTTCAAATGTCTAACAAACTTTAAAGCTACTGTAGTACTAAAAAGTTGATGCTGTACATAGTCAAAATTTCTTTGCAGAAAATGTATTCCCAGTAAGGAAATGGCATTGGAAAAAAAATGTCAAATACAATTTCTAATGTTGTGTTATATTTTTTCTTGTCATCTTGTATACCATTGCTTGTATTTTTATAAATTATTTTTCTCATTGCCATTGTAATAGTTAACCACATAATTGTGTAGATATGCTATTTAAATAATTTATCATGAAATGCTACCTGTAGAGTTAGTATTTCTATTTTTATAAAATGTTTGCACACTGAACTGAGGACTTTTTTTTTTTTTGCTTCCCTCCTCCTGATGTTTTTGCCAGCATAATTTTCTAAGGACATGCTTTTTTTGTAAACATTTTTAACCATTTTCCATTTTAAAGGTTTGTAAGTTGTACAATAAAGCTTCTTACATACAAAGAACAATAAACCAACAAGGACATTTATATTTACACCTTTGTGCTGTGTTTTTTATTAATGTTTTTTAAGATTTTTGTTGTTCACTGATACACTAACATCTTCCTCTGTTCATGTCAAAATGGTTTTCAAAGCACAATCTCTCTAAAATATTTACATTAAAATTATGACAAGAGCAGATGCAGCTGAGCTTTCACCCCATCTACCACAGCTTATCCCCCTGAAGGCACACTTGATTCTGAAGGCTTCACTGAAGACTTGTGGTAAGTGTAGACACAGCCATGGTGCCATTGTTGAAGCCTCAAGGCAAAGCCTCCTCTTCCAGGGGATGTCAGTTGGCCCCAGCCAGGCCTGGCCCCTATTTCTTTTTCTCACATGAAGAGGCAGCAGAATGACTATTTGCAGGGGCAGATGAGTATCTGTTAATATCTCTTGTGGACTAAGACTGCTCATGTAATCAAAAAGCTGATGGTGTGGCACTGTATCAACTGTTGAAGCATGCTGCTAGAAGTAAGAGTTGTTAGGACTAATTGCTCAATCTACTTACAGCAGCAGTTTGTTTCATGAGCCCTTTAACAAAGCCAGGTGCTAGATACCCACAAGTGTATTCAAGGGCTCCTGCAGGTACACAAGATTAATTTTTACATCTTTTCTGAGAATGAAGAGTCCTGTTTTATGAAGGTTTTTTTTCCTGTTTTTCTGTCACTAGACTTTTGAGGACAGTCCTGCATATTTCATCTCACTGAGAACAAGGAGAAAAAAGACAAAAAACTCCTAACCTATTGCTTCCAAAATGAGTGGCTGCTGAATGTCTGTCCTCACTAGTTACAAGATTGTCTGCTTCACTTCTCTGGAGTGAGACATGGTAGCCTCTTATGGGAAGGCACCATCAGTGTAACCCATCTGATTTTATCTGGGTCTGCTGTACCAAATATCCTGCAGTCCTGGTCTCAAACTCTCTTCTTGCTCCTAGGGGCACCAAGAGCCAGAGCTACTACACCTACATGGAAAAATCTCTTTACTGTACTTGGAGGCAGTCTGAGGTATTCTGGATCTAGAAAGCCCATTAGATGTATGAACAGATATATGTATGTAGATATCAGTTTTAAAAAGAGCCCTGTTGCTGATGTGGAAGAAGCCAGCCCTGGCAGCCTATTCCAATGCCCTTGTCTGAGCACAAGCCAAACTTTCATGCTAATTTGTTGCATGCAGTTATGTGGCTTTTATCAGTGTAGTATCTGAACTGGGGATAATAGACACCTTAGACTAATAAAGGCAAGCCATGTGCCTTGAGTTAACCCATAGGTTAAGTTCATCCACTTGTGGCTTGGGGAATGGGAATACAATAGGACACAAGAAAGAGATACAGATGAGGTCTGTACTTGCCCAAAGAAACAACTTTCAAAGACAAACTAAACAGGAAGAGCACGGAAAATGGCCACACTCCACAGGCCAAAAACTCCATAGGTGAAGAATATGGGAAATATGCTGTTCCCAGCTCCCTGGAGCCTCCTCAGTGGGAATCATAGAATCATAGAATCTTAGGGGCTGGAAGGGACCTTGAGAGATCATCTGGTCCAACCCCCCTGCCAGAGCAGGGTCACCTAGAGTACATCACACAGGAACTCATCCAGGTGGGTTTTGAATGTCTCCAGTGAAGGAGACTCCACAACCTCCCTGGGCAGTC